ACCCCCTGGCCAATACCTCTCTCGTTCTCCGCCCGACAGATACCCAAATGAACGTCAATATCACCTACGAGGACATGATGCGACCAGTCGCTGGTCCACAAAACCCGTTTGACAAACGCAAACTCCCCAACCAAAACGCGCTTGCTGGACATGTAGAGGAAGAAGTCATGACCGATCATGCGTTCAAACAACAGCACCTCACGCACGAGATTCTCGGTTACTCGCACAACCCCTCGACAGACTTGAGTGCACCAAGAATATTGGGAGCAACTGACAAGGCCGAGGCGAACGGGTTCAGGACACTGGACGGAGTGGGGAGCAGTAAAGCTAGCCGACGAGAGTTAAAACGGAAACGAGCCGGCAAGGGCGATCTGGATGTCGTAGACGGTGATAGCGCATATGTCGGACCGTGGGCTAAATGGGATGGAGACGACAAGGGTGTCGCGATCCCAGAAGGCGCGATCGCACCCACTGAAGGAGACGACGAAGACGACGGGTTCGAAGACGCCGAGCTGGAGGTCAAGAAAGGTCGCCCCAAAAAGTCGGCACACGGTCAAGAGTCGTCTATCTTCCACGGCAAGTCGCTGGTCGATTACCAGGGACGGACGTACATGGACCCACCGATTGCAGAGGCGCCCCATATCTTGGGCGAAGCTGGCTCGCAAGACTGCTTTGTTCCTAAAGAGTGTGTGCATACTTGGACCGGACATACCGGTGCGGTTTCGGCTGTCAGGCTATTCCCGCGCACCGGGCATCTACTGCTTAGCGCTAGCATGGATACCAAGGTCAAGGTATGTCTCATGGATATCAATTCGAGTTTTAACAAGCGGCTAACATGTTTTCGCTAGCTGTGGGACGTATATGGACAAGGAAACTGTCTACGAACGTTCATGGGCCACGGCAAAGCCGTCAAGGATATAACCTTCTCCAACGATGGCCGACGATTCCTCAGCTGTGGGTTCGATCGACAAATAAAACTTTGGGACACCGAAACAGGTACGTCCATCCTTGGTTCTTCTGAACACCCTACTCATGCTATTCTCTCGCAGGCAAATGCATCAAAGCATTCACCAATGGAAAAATCCCGCACGTCGTCAAATTTCACCCTGACGAGGACAAGCAAAACATTTTCCTAGCAGGCATGTCGGACAAAAAGATCATCCAGGTACGCTCATGTCACGACTCTCGCATTGCAAACCTAACCATCTCACCTCTCCAGTACGACATCGACTCGGCCGAAATTATCCAAGAATACGACCAACATCTCGGACCCGTCAACTCGATCACGTTCGTGGACGAAAACAGGCGGTTCGTCACCACATCCGACGACAAGACTATCCGTGCGTGGGACTACGATATACCAGTTGTCATCAAATATATCGCGGAACCGCACATGCATTCGATGCCCAGTGTCACACTCCATCCTACCAGTACGTCTGATCTCTATGCTCTTTTTCCCATCCACAACTAAATCGTCATCGCAGAGAAATGGTTTGCGGCTCAATCGCTTGACAACCAAATACTCGTCTACTCGACCGATAATTTCCGTCAAAATCGCAAAAAGAGGTTCGCAGGCCACAGTGTGGCAGGGTACGCGTGCCAAGTCGGATTCTCACCCGACGGTCGGTGGGTGTCGTCCGGCGACGGCGAGGGCAACATGGTCTTTTGGGATTGGAAGACGGGCAGGATCAAGAGCCGGCTGAGATGTCATAGTAAAGTCGTGATCGCGCACGAGTGGTTGCCGCACGAGACCAGCAAGGTCGTCACTGCTTCTTGGGATGGGTTGATTAAGCTTTGGGTGAGTTCTTTCCGCACACTTCTTGAAGAGGGTCTGACCATGATTTTGGAATGCAGGATTGAGAAGTTTGTATATTGTTTGTATACTTGTTGCAAAACGTATAATATTGCTGTTGGAATGGCGCCGTCGTTTCGCATGGGTGTGATGTCATTTGCAAGTTAAGAATAGTCCCAGCCTTCAGATCTATACGGGACAGTAAGATGACTTTAGAGTGCGATGCGCCAATTAAAGTATCTGAGCTTCCATTCTAGGCAACGGGAAAGTTAAACTCGTTTCCATTATTACAAGACTATCAAACTAAATACATAGATACGGGACAGAGAAACAAAAACAACAAGAGCATAGAGAAGTGAAAAGCGCATAGTACGCGATCATATAAACACGCACACTGGTGTTAAATCCAAGTTCGCAGAGCTAGAGGTGTCACGCGATACGAGTGGTGGGAGGCGCGCAACGGCGTCGTTTTTGGGCATGTCCTTCCAGTTTCTCATTCGTGTCGGTCACGTTACGCACTGAACATTTTGCCTTTACTCGCTCTCGTAGCCTGTCCAACTTAGCCGACCTAGCAAGTACCGCGTCCCGCCGATTGAAATACGACTCCACAAACACTTCTATATCAGCTTTAGTAGCAGGATCTCGAGTGGCAGCAGTAGCCTGCCGATGGGAATCACAAGGGCAGGATGACATGGGCTCGTTTGTCTTGAGTTCTTGTGCGATTCGATCAACAGTGGCAGGCATTTCAGCCGCTAGCCTTCCTGCGTACCAGGCAAGAGTATGGATATGAGTTTGAAGTTGAGGGGTCGGTATGGGTATAGAAATTGGCTCGACAGTGAGAGTGGGGCGATGGACAACCCTTCGGCCTTTGTTTCCCGGGAGTCGTTTTGCAGAAACATACAGCGATGTCACGATCCGCTGCCGGAGCGCTGCGGCGTCTGTTTTCGAAATGACTGTCATAAGTTCACTAGGCCCAAGGACTCCATCCCCTCGTTCCTCATCTCTCGACCGGCGTTTAACGGGGAACGGGTCTTCATGTGCAATTATAGGTGCCTTCTTCAAGACTGTCTGAGTGATGGCCAACGTGCTGCAGACAATCTTGGTCCCAAAATGTGGCCCTTCTAATATTATGTGAACTTGTGAAGCGTTTGGATGAGACATCTGCGATGTGCAGGAATGAACAGCACGCTTCAATGATGTTAGCGCCAGGTTGATATGATTCGGACACGAAACTGACTTACTTCTACGTGATATACAACGTCATCCCGACTCGTCTGAAGCTTTATAACTAGCTTAGAGGCATTCTGACCCCTTCGTGTGGCCAGGCCAGTAATAAAACGTGCCGACGTGGTAGAAATATCAGATCTCAAGACGACTTTGGTGACTATCGGTGGTATGATGTCCAGTAAGGCGGGCACATCACTGTTTAACGAGACAGGGTATATGCGTTGCAGGTCTCCCGCCACACTTTTAGCAACTATTCTGATCACCTGACATCGAGGGAAAGTATATGATAACCCTCTTGCCTGGTATCCGCCAGAAGACTCTAGCTGAGGGAAGGCATCTTCGTCTTGACAGATGCCCCCCGGCTGCTGCGGGTCCTGCGGATCGAAATAGATAGAAAGTTGCCTGACGGTCAAGATTCGGTTAATAAACTTTTACTTCTTCTCTTTTTTTTTGTTTTCCAAACACCTACCGGACGTAGTTCGCAGCTCCAGTACTCGCATATACCCCAATATCCCCCTTGGCGCGCAACGTCACATGCTCATAAACATAAGGTGAAACCACAGAACGCATGCGTTTCGACGCTCTAGCTAAGGCTCCTAGTACATGGCTTGGAGGTGTTCCCGAGGGTGCTGCACCTAGTATGTGACAAGCAATGCGCTGCAGCACCGTGTGTGGAAGCAGTGCACCCCTAGGTCCAAAAGAGCGGGGATTCTGTTGAGCAGGTGGATCCAGGCAGTGGGTTTGCCCAGTAGATCTTTTTCCTATACCTAAACGACAACGATAATACTCCAGCATGTCTTGCCTAGACGGTGGCTGTAATGGAAGGGCGGACGAGTGCGCGAAAAGGTGCGTAGCATCGATCAGACAACCACCAACAGCCTGAGTAACCGCCTGCACTCTAGCGTCTACGTTAGATTCAAGACTAACAGGTAGCAACTGTTGAGGCTTTATATCTGGCATTTCGATTGCCGGATATCGGTGATATTTTGTACTGATGGACATCAACTCGCTTTTTTCGGCGTGCGTTTCCCGTAGGCTAGTCGCTCAGGCTAAAACGTTGAAATTGTGAGGGCCTTGCTCCACGAAGCAGGTCGAGTTACGTCCAAACTAGAAATCAGCTGTGTAATTGGAAACACTGCTATCACGCGGAAGAATATCTAGAGACAGCCTGGGCTATAGTTTGGAGAATGGAGGAGACCAACACTTTCGACAAAAGTCACCCAAGTTTATATGCCAGCCGGCGCTACTACCAGCGGGGCCCGATACAAAAACTGGGTTGAGATGCGCGGCTCGAGTACTTGGGAGATCAAGCACAAAGATGGGGGAGATCCAAAGGAGCCTACTAGGCTGTGATAGAGAAGTGCCTGTGGTTTGAGACGTCGTAATAGTGGTCTTGATGTTTGAAGGGCTGACTCGATAGAGACGTGTGGTGGCTGAATAAATAGGGGATCTTCCAACACAGGAGAAACAATGATAAGTATTGATAAGTATGAGTAGAGTGTATCGTGCACTTGATTTAAACTGATCTCACGTTCTAATTAAAACGGTCTTGTCACCGTCTAGCGAGGCAAAGGCTTACGACTGTGGCTTGGGACGGAAAGGTAGAAAACACTGCGGTGCGAGCAGAAAACACACTATATTAGGTGGATTGACAGCCTTTGTACTTCCGGTATTCTTTCCTCGCGTGGCTTATTGTACTTTGTGGGTCCATAGCTAGCAACCATGGAAGGGGTGGAAGGAGTCAATTGGCTGATTTCAAATTAAACGCTCTCTATGGTCCAACTACGGGCCTTTTCGTCATTGATTGGACCAATAGCCATATTCACGATGTTTTGGTTGGACGTACCGTTTTAATGTGCATCACATCACAAAATAATAATAACTTTGTATATCAAGTTAGCTTCAGCTAGACAATTATGTTTCTTTCTCGCCCCCATTTCAGTTGGGTTCGGCACCTATCTTAGTAGGATAAAAAACGTCTTGCTCCCTGTGAGGCTCGAACTCACGACCTTTGGATTGGGTAACAGAATCTGTCACTCATACAGAAGTATGAGACCAACGCTCTACCAACTGAGCCAAGGAAGCTTGAATTAAGTAGCAAATACTTTTGTTACAGCACCTGTGATAATAAATAAATAGTAAATCACTTGGCCCACTTCCATCATCACCACAGCTACCACTCACTCCCTTCGCACATTTATCCCGCTATCAGAAATGCCGTTCGGAGAAGTTGTAATAGGTTCACCAGGGAGCGGTAAATCTACGTATGCCTTCGGAAAGCAGCAGGTAGAGCGTTTGATAGGGGCCTCTCTTGCATCTTACCTATCGCCTTCCTAGCTTTTAACAGCTCTCGAGCGTCCTATTGCTATTGTGAACCTCGATCCAGCCAACGACTCTGTTCCTTACGAGTGCGCAGTTGACATCGGATCGCTGATTTCTCTACAAGATGCTATGGAGGAGCATGGTCTTGGACCAAACGGCGGCATGCTCTACTGTATGGAGTATCTTGAAGCAAACTTTGACTGGCTCGAGGAACAACTTCGTGCGGCCGGACTATTAGCGGGGGACGCCTACGTCGTATTCGATGTCCCAGGACAAGTAGAACTTAGCTCGGACCACATGAGTCTAAAGAACATTATTGGCAGGCTAGAGAAAATCGGTTTTCGGGTGCGTGAATACCTCTTTCTGCTGGGTTAATAGCACATTAACTAACGGACTTAGTGTAGTCCAGCTTGCAGCAGTGCATTTGTGTGATGCGTACTATGTTACCGACGCCGCGAAATATGTATCAGTCCTGCTGCTTTCTTTAAGGACAATGCTACACTTAGGCCTACCGCACGTCAATGTGTTGTCGAAACTTGACCTGCTGTCTAGATATGGTGATCTCGGTAAGTCATGACGAGAACCACAAACGACTATTCTGACCGAGATTCTTTAGATTTTAATCTCGAGTTTTACACGGAGGTCCAGGATCTTTCGTATTTGCATAACTTGCTGTCGAGTTCACATCCACGATTTTCAGCGTTAAACGAAGCGATTTGTGATCTAGTAGAAGAGTTTAGTCTGGTGGCGTTCGAAACTCTTGCGGTGGAAGTGAGTGATCTCATGGTCTCGGGTTGCGGCAGCAACGCTCACGCCGCAACAGGACAAAAAGTCGATGTTGCACCTGATGCGAACCATTGATCGGGTGCTTGGCTATGTGTTTGTTCCCAAACCTTCTACCAAGGAGAAGAGTGATCAGCCGGAAGGAACTGCTCGACCCAACCAAGATGCTATTTTTTCTTCAGCCATGGCGGCTATCCCGGGGCCAAGCATTCAAGACATACAAGAAAGGTAAGAAGCTCGACTCCATTGCTGGCGCGCATTGAGTTTTCTTATTTAGGTGGGTTGATCACCGTGACGAGTATGACGCATGGGAATCAAGAGAATGGAGACAGGAAGGGTTGGACGCAGCAAAGGAGCATAGCGAGAAATAACAGAGGTCTGTTCGAACATGTAAGCTACGGATGTAATCAGGATAGCAGAATCGGGCGATCTGTCCGAGGTGAGACTTGTGTGACAGGTCTGTAAAGCACAACGACTATTCATCTTCCTCTTCGTCGTCGCTCTCCACTTTCCGTGCTTTCTTTTTCTTTGCCGGCTTGGATGCCTCCGTTTTAGCCGATTTTACAGGCTTAGCTACAGCTCTAATACCATGTTGGTCGGCTAGCTCTGGGTGTGATACGAGAGATACGCACTTTGTTTTAGTTATCTTGGTCGCCCTTTCCTTCTTAGAGCTTGATCCTCCAGCATCCAATTCGTTCAGAGCCTCAGTGATTGCGCTATGAACATTGATAAGGCCCATAAACTGAAATTCAATTCAGTAAAGTGAATCAGCGGTTGACAAGCTTGGATCACCTGTTCTTCGGCCAACGATATCCCTTTCTTTCCTGGCTTCAATTCCCCGGTGCTTTTGTCAGTGTACATCTAAACGGGAGTGAGTGTTGAAGCGAGGCCATTTGACGACTACTCTGACCTCCCGAATGTCAACCAACTTCATCCCATTGAAGCTCCTAATAGTCACCCGTCGCTTGCCGCTAATCTAAAATAATATTAGACACCCAGTGCACCACCCAAAAAAGGTTAAATGTACCTCGAAATAAGTGTTGCCCTCAGCATCGGTTTGTTTTTCAGGAACGGGAACAATAATCTTAGAGCTAGAAGGCGGCTCTTTCGCAAGGACTTCTGTTTCCTCTGCCCCAGAGACCTCTCCGTCGGATTCGACTTGGGCTTTGCGTTTCGGGGCCATGACAAGGGTGAGGTAGTGGTGGCAAGTTGCAGGTGGCGCAACCAGGTAGATCGGGGGGCGCGTGTGTTAAGCGCCAAAGGGTCTGGCGATTAGTCATGTAATGATTTTGGAGACGCGTCTCGCCTCGCCTCTACCATACCCTTTACGACTTTACGATGCAGCGCGGTCTACCTATGGTAAATACCAACGCGATTTAACCGTACATGCCGCTAATCATACTGCAATAGCAACCGACTGTGATCCTTCTCAAAGAAGGCACAGACACGTCCCAGGGCAAAGGTCAATTGCTCTCCAATATCTCCGCATGTCTTGCCGTTGCCGATACACTCTCGTCAACTCTCGGCCCTCGAGGAATGGACAAGCTGATTGTAAATGAGCGCGGAGAAGCTCAAATCACCAACGACGGAGCAACTATTCTCAAATTGCTAGATATCGTTCACCCGGCCGCAAAAACGCTGGTCGACATTGCACGCGCCCAAGACGCAGAAGTCGGTGACGGAACGACCAGTGTCGTACTTTTGGCCGCTCAAATCTTAAAGGAGTCGCGTTCTTATATCGAAGAAGGCGTTAGTCCGCATATTATTATCAAAGGGCTGCGAAAGGCTGCCCAGCTGGTGAGTTATATTTATGTCGTGGATTTGGATCGTCAATGGACAGTATCGCAGGCAGTTGACAGGATCAAGGAGGTCCAAATAGTGATCGACAAGTCGGATCCCGCGTACGTCAAGGACATGGCATTCATGAATTCCTACTAACTACAATCCTATAGTAAATACGATGAGCTTCTCATCAAATGTGCCTCCACATCAATGTCCTCTAAGCTCATTCACTCCCAAAAGCCGTTCTTTTCACGCATGGTCGTAGATGCTGTACAATGCCTCGATCAAAAAGACCTCGATGAGAGCTTGATCGGCGTTAAAAAGGTTCCGGGAGGCGGCTTGCAAGACTCCCTGCTCGTTCGCGGTGTCGCATTCAAAAAGACGTTTACCTATGCAGGTGCCGAACAACAACCAAAATCATTCACGGACCCCAAGATTCTCTGCCTGAATGTCGAGCTCGAACTCAAGGCCGAGAAGGACAATGCAGAGGTCCGAGTCGAGGCCGTCTCGGACTACCAGGCAATTGTCGACGCGGAGTGGCAGATCATTTACGACAAACTCGACCGGATCCACAAAACCGGAGCTCAAGTGGTCCTCTCCAAGCTCCCCATCGGTGATTTGGCCACGCAATGGTTTGCAGACCGTGGCGTATTCTGCGCTGGACGCGTCCCTGCAGCTGACTTGCGCCGGGTGACCCAAGCGGTTGGCGGGACTGTTCAAAGCACGACGTCGGATATCTTGCCAGAGCATTTGGGTACTTGTGGGAAGTTCGAGGAGAGGCAGATTGGTGGCGAGAGGTACAACATATTTGAAGAATGTCCTAAAGCGAAGACGTGCACTCTGGTTTTGCGTGGTGGCGCAGAGCAATTTATCGAAGAGGTTGAGCGTAGTCTCCACGATGCCATCATGGTCGTTCGCAGGGCAGTGAAGAATAGTGAAGTTGTGGCAGGTGGAGGTGCTATCGAGGTGAGCACGAGCGATAACAGCAACACATGACACGGACCGATTTTTGTCGTAGATGGAGCTTTCAGCCTACATCAGGGACGTCTCCCGAACTCTCCCCAACAAACACCAGCTCATATTGTCCGCATTCGCCCGTGCTCTCGAGATTATCCCCCGGCAGATCTGCGAGAACGCCGGCCTGGATTCGACGGACGTCCTGAACAAGCTACGTATGCGCCACGCCACAGGCCGCCACGCCACCGACCACCCGCAGTTGAGCGAGAACTTGTGGGCAGGTGTCGACGTCGACAGCGACGAAGGGGTGCGAGATAACTTGTCAGCGTTTGTGTGGGAACCCAGTCTGGTCAAGCTGAATGCGATCGGGAGCGCGTGCGAGGCGGCGTGTTTGATCCTGAGCGTCGACGAAACCGTCAAGAACCCTCAGAGCGAACAGGTAGGTACCATAGCAAATACAGAGGGGTTCTTTCTGACGGATGTGGTTCTCCGTTTCGTAGCCGAACCCAGGACCAAAGGCTCCCCCAGGCACGGCGCAACGCGCATTGCGAGGCCGTGGGCGCGGCATGGGACGGAGATAGTCACTACCCTGTATCGAATTACAGGCCCGAATTAATCCTCATATACATGACCGCATGTGCGCATAGCTTGAGCCTCGATTGGGATCGGCGGAGAGTGTTTCCGGGCCAGCAAGCCGAGTCGGCGGTGGATGAGCACTTGCTCCAGTGGAATTTCTCCGTCGACACCCCATTGATTTGGTGACTGGTCTGGGGGGGGGGGTTTCCTGTGATTTTAGTACTCGTCAGGTTCAACCCCACGCAAACCGGGCGAGTCAGGTGTCGTGGTCGCGCCCTTGCCCAGCATGGTGACAGAAATCCAACACTTATTATAAAGCTTGAGTAAAAAGCAGCATACCGCTCATCTGGTAGGCCCCCGTTGCATCAATTCAGGGATACAGTCTCGGATCCACGGGATGGCTCTAAGAATGTTGTCGCACGCCCAATCTACGAGCTGGTTCATGCGTAGCTCCTGATTATCTATATAATCGCGGAGTTACGCTTTGCCGAAATGAGACCCCTATGGCCAACGCTCATCCATTCTAGATTCTCATTGCTCTCGGGGGCTTAACAGAACTCTAAAGCGTGATGTTATATATGGATGAAGCCTACAACCAGTTAATTTCGTGTATAGAGCCAACTCAAATACCCTGAAACGATCTGGTGAACTATATTCAAGCTATA